TTGCCATAGTAACTGACTCTGAGTTTAGATTACCTCTCTTTGTGAAACGGGTTTAACTTACCCCGCTTCACGGGTTTAAGTTACCTCTGTTTCTGAAACCGAAAACTCCGAGTTGCCCTCATTTCGGGGTTAACAAACTCTGAGTTTCGACAAAACCGCCTTCTTGAAATAGGCCCCAGGAAGTGGTGTCAGAATAAAAGCATGATACTGGAAGCAGAGGAAACGGAATCATGACACTGTCACGATTTGCAGAGGCCACGATGAAGACATAAAACAATTGTCTGTTAGGCTCGACGCAGGAAGCTGCAGATAATGTCGAGGGGTGAACTCAATTATATAGCCAGATGAGGATAAGTAAAACACTGTTTCTTTAATAAGAGCACAAACAGCAAAATGATACAGAGAACTACATAAATCGCAAAACACACACTCAGGTCGAGAATACAGTCCAGGGTCAGAGCCAGCAAACTTACACAGCCAAGGAATCCACAAACGAGAGGTCAGAGAGAGAAGTTTGATAATCCATACATAGAAAACAGTCCAAAGCAAGAGGGCAAGGCAGAACACAATGGTCAAAATACACAATCCCGGGGTCAGAACAGGAAATACCAAAAAACAACAACAACAACAAAGGCTGGAAAGTCTGCACAGGAGAACAGTGTGGCACCTGGGAGTCATCTGCCTAAATAGGGGTGAAAACAGGTGCAAACAATCAGAAGCAGGTGAAAACTATGAGTGCTGATTAACGTAAAAAGGCTGAAACTTGTCTGAAAACACATTCATTTCATTTTACAAAAAAATATAAAACTTTTTAAAATTAAATGATTATAGGATAATGCCAGTGATTTTCTATATTTGCTATTTTTTCACAAGTACCATACAGACACTAAAACTAATAATGAATATCTGTAATGAATATATGTTTTACAAGAAAGAAAGAGAAAATCACTGGCCTTATATGTTAAAAGGATTGGGATAAATGATCAAAATTTGTTGTTTTCCCATTCATTGACAAATTGTTTTAGTTTTAATGTGTTTATGTAAAACAACAAATCAAAAAAAATCAGATGCATTAATCCTTCAAATGTCTGTCTCAAAGCTCCAGTACTGGTCAGTACTGCTAGTGTATTGTCATGTACTGTATGTAAAACAATGAAAATAGAGGCATTTTAGGTTAAATAACTGTTGATGTTTAAAACCCTATGAGGAACTGGCCAGCTACTAGGTATAACTCTTTAAAACTATAGTTTTGTATTGAAATTGGGGGTGTGTTGAGGGGGGAGAATGTGGATGAACTGCAGTCTCCCCTGCCCTTGACTTTTTGTTGCATGTCATTCTTCAACTCACTGTATTATATAGGTTTGCATAGATACGTATAGAGTCTAAAATCATTTACATTTGTTTCCATGTGTCTTTGTCTTCCCAGAACAGAGTGTCCAGATAACAAAATCTTGACAGTGGAATATCCCTGTGTTAATGCAGGAGGGAAGAATAGCACTTGTTTCAGGTAAGACTCAGTCATGTCTGTTGATTTTCATTGCTTCCCTCTGGTCAAATAATCCTGTAGTTTCACTCAGGGTGAGCCCCAGGATTTATTGTACAGTATACATTTTCATTCTGGTATTGAGCTACTTGTCTTTCCCAAAACATTTGCTCAAGGACACTTTGATGAGTGGCTGCTGAGACCTGAAGGGAGAATTGAATCTGAACACTTCTGGCGTTACACAATAGAACAGTTTCTGTAACCACTAAACTACCCCACCATGTCATTTCCAGAGCTCCACACAGGATATCCTCCTGTTGGAAACTCTCTATAGCAACTTGAGAGAGAAAATAATTTTCTGAAGATCATCACTCGGAGATTGAGGATGTAGTTAGTAAATGTGCTGTAATTTGGCAGCCAACACAGCTACTCTTTGACATTTGAAGACAATTTTATTTGAAACATACCTTGTATTGCCTACTTTTTTGGATAACATGGCCAAAACCAGATGCATTCTTACTTCATTTTAGTTTATTCAAGTGTGTTTTTTTTTTTTTGTAAAATAGAAATGAATAATGAACTTTTTCATTTCTTTACACTGTATTTTTATACTGCAATTTCCATCTGCACTGAGCTGAATTCCACTAGCCTGGATGTGCAGCAGCAAAATAAAACTTGAACTTGAAGTTTGTGCCCAGAGCTAAAAAAATTTAGGGAAAGCATCCTATAACCTAAAAAGTAGAAATAGTCTGATAGGAGAGTGATTACCAACACCACATTTGATTTAACTATAGACTCATTAGTGAACAGATAGTGTTTTTTGTCATCAAGGGTCAAACATACAGTTGACTGCTGCACATGCTGCTCCCATGCAGAATCCATCCATCCATCCATTTTCTTCCGCTTATCCGGGGCCGGGTCGCGGGGGCAGCAGTCTAAGCAAAGATGCCCAGACCTCCCTTTCTCCAGACACTTCCTCCAGCTCCTCCGGGGGGATGCCAAGGCGTTCCCAGGCCAGCCAAGAGACATAGTCCCTCCAGCATGTCCTGGGTCTTCCCCAGGGCCTCCTCCCAGTGGGACATCTC